AACCTAGGAAAACTGTAGAGAGGACTGGCCATGAATAGCAGGATTTCAACAGATGAGCAGGGAAAGTGATATATGAAATCTAGGGAGAATAAACAGGAGAGCAAATGACAGGAGTTGGAGAAGAGCTAGAGTGTGTGGGCTATGCTTATGGTCTCATTGGTAGAACCAGAGTAGAACCTCTATATAAGAGGGATAGAGAAGTCAGTAAGGCTCATTATCTGGTGTTGGCCATGCTTGTATACTTTGAGAATCCTTAGATGAGATGACACTACCATATATTTAATTTTGTGGAATTGCAGGAAAATGGTAAACAGTATGAGCTTTAAGTCAGGTAGCCCTCAGTTGTATTTCTGGCTCTAGGCGACCTCACATAGATTTCTTAATTCATTTGAACACCAATTTCCTCCTCTTCAATGTGGAGACAATTATAGTCCTCTTATGAGGATTAAGTGAGTTCATATGAATTAAAAGATCTAAATAGGTACCTGGTACCTATGAAAGATTCTATAAATGTTAGCTGATATTACAGTATGATTTTATGAATTCATTAAAAAATGCTAACTATTGACTTAGACAGTATGTATTTGCTTCAGCACCATCAGTGACTCATTTGTTCCAAAGCATGAAATCACTAAGACTATCAAAAGAATAAGTTGTCCAGAATATTATGCATACCTGTTAAGTAGTAGAGATGTTAACTCTTATTTCTAATTTATTAATATTTATTGAGTATCTAAGTTACTTCTAATAGTTCTGATATTTTTCCTGTTATATCACCATGCTGCAGTGAATAATTGTGTACTAAATCATTTCACATATATCTTGAGATGTATCCCTGGCTTAAAGTCTTAGAAGAGAAATTGCTAGATTGATGAATTTTTACATTTGCAATTTCAATAATTATTGACAAATCACCCTTCAGATTATACTAATTTCCACTTCCATCAAAAATGTATTTATTGAGCATCTACCATATGTTTGGTGCTAAGAAAGTGCTATAAAGTATAAGACACAATACCTTTCTTCAAGAGGCTCATGATCTAGATGGGGAGAAAGTAGCATATCTTTATTTTAGATAAAACCACAATGTTTTCATAGGCTTAAAAATGTGTCATATTTTTTGAAGATATATTAGGCCCTAAAATCACTGAACACAATTTTCTTTTCGCAGCATTCTTGGTGGAAGTCTGTCTTTAAAACAGCATTATAAAGTAGCAAACAAATAGGTATTGTTATAGAGCAGAAGTAATTTAGGATTTGAGAAAAGACATATATTAAGTGTGCTTAACTGGTGCTTGGAAAACTTGAAGAAGTAATATATGTAAGATGTAGTTAGATGAACAAGTAGGGAGATTGTCTTCTGAGGCAGAGCATGAGCAAGAGCCTAGGGAGACTGTAGCTTTGTGAGGACAATTTAGAAATTGACCTACCTGAAGTCCACACCTAGATTGAGAAGAAAAGGAAATTGGGTTGGATAAAAGAGCCAGTGCTAATTAGTGAATGAAATGGCAAGCTGGAATATAGGTTATTCCTTTGAGGAATTTGCTGGAGATATTGAGCAAGGGAGGTTAAATGGTCATGGGAAAGTGGGAAGGTGTTTTGATGGGGCTGCTCAAGCTGTTTTCATGTGAAAGAGAGCAAGATAGCTTCAGGCAAGCAACTAAAACTGTTCAGCCATTGCAGGACCCACACATGAGGAGGAGCCCCCAAATAGGGTAGTGGCCAAGGGAAGAAAAAGAAAAGAACTTACTTAAAAATGTTCAAAGGACAGGTCAATTGGGCTTTGAGACTGATGGTTCCTATTAGGATAAATATCTAATTAGGATAATAAGATTTTGAGAAGGTTGGTGGTTAGAAATGAAAATGTAAGGAAACCTATGCAAGAAAGAAGGTAGTTTGAATAGGTTTAGAGAGGGAGGTAGAGAATAAGGGAGAGAGAGAAATTGTTTGGAAAAAGTTAAAGAATGACTTATAATTCTGTCAGTTTAACATAACTGCCTTTAATTTCATCTCCATCTTACCTTGTAGCCCTGGTTCATGTACCCACATAACATATCTGCTATTATAAATGTACATTCCACTTTGTATTTTTAAAATCAGTGTGTCACAACATTTATTTCCATGTAAACTTAATAATTATAAATATTATTGGCTGGGGGATTTATCTTCAATCTGGTATATCCCCAGAGCTTCCTGAAAGCACAGACCATATTGCTGTTGTTCATTGCTGTGTTCAGAACATAGGAAAAGATGAACAAATGTTGACCCCTAGATTATTTCCATGTTTTTCTTTATAGAAATTGCTGTAACAAATGTTTATGATGTGGATTTGTTTTTTGGTTTATTTGTTTGTTTTTAATGGGAATTGTTGTGTGAATGGACATTGGACATTAAGTCTATTTGCAGGACATCCAGATGGCAGTGTACAAGGAGGTGTTCAAAGACGTGTTCTAGAGTTGAATGAAAAGTCAGTGTATTCCAGTAGTAGAACTTTAGTCCTAAGGTTAAATTAAGGACTTTATTCAAGAATGTTGGGCTCTGATAGTTCCAGATTTGTATATGTGCTTCCTTAACTATGTAGTAACTAACATGAAAATTCACATCATGAGCCATTTTTGTGCTTGTCCATAATTGGGAAGAATTTCAGTTCCATTAGTGTCCTGAGCATGAGTGAATCATTTCTTTGAATTGCTCAAAGATAGAGGCGACACTTCCCTTGGGAATTTCTCAATTGGAAGCCACCAATTGAAAACTTCCCAGTTGGTGGTGATGCTCTGCTCAAGGGAGATTCTGTGCAAGCCACAGAATTTATTAGTTCATGGCCTTGAGTTGAAATGCCAGCTCCCTGGAGGTAAAGAGTTATGGGCAGAAGCTGATATGCCCTAAAGGGGCTGTTTTACCCACAAATTAGGTTTTTTTCATCTTGAAGAAGCTTTCTCACAATAAATCCTTTTGATGTTTAAGCCTATATAACGAATGTGCTGAGCTTGCTCTTGGACAGTCTTCCTCCAACAGAGGCAGGCTGAACCACCGAGTTCCACTTTTTCTATTTTTGTGTCTGTTGGCCTGTTTTTTTCAATTCCCTCACTGCCTGGTTCAGGAAACTGAGTAAACATCTTGCAGATAGTGACACATTAGAAAACTTCAGTGCTCAGTAATGTCCTAGCAAGGCTTCAGTTTGGAAAATAGCACCTGGGCATATACTCAGCCCAAAGATATTTTCTGTGTATGGAGTCCTTAAAGAGCTCTCTGTCAGCTGGGATGGCATTGATCATAAGATAAGATGATATACAGTGACTTAAGCAATTCAGGGGTTTATTTTCTTTATGCAGCAATATGTCCTGAGATGGACAGTTTGGGGTTGCTTTGACAGCTCAGTGAAGTCATCAGAGACGTAAACTTCTGTCCTCTGACTTCATTTTCAGCCTGTGGCTTCACTCCTTATCGTTGCTAAAGGATGAAAGTGGCTCTGTGCCTTGTTCCACTGCATCCTTGTTTCACACAGGACAATGAGGAAAGGGCAAGGAAAAAAAGTTGCAAGGGCTTCTCTAGGAAGTCTACACCTTGAGAATGCTTTCCTGGAGTCTGCACCCTGCAACTTCTGCCTTTGTCTCCTCAGGTAGAACTATGTCAGATGGTCATCCCTCATATAGGGAGAAAGTTGGCTTGTTTAGCTGCAACCATTGCTTTCCCTGACTAAAACTGTGATTCAGTTAGTAAGGAAGAAAGGGAAAATGAATGTTGGGTAGGCAACCAGCAGTGTCTGCCAGTCTTCAGGGGACAGACCAACACTATTCCTAACAACTTGCTTTTTGAGGTTGTGAGAATCAGACATCAATATTTATTATACAAGTGAAGAAATAAAAAAGATGTGAATTTGTCAGGAGTTTATGAATAGCTATGCTTTTGATGAATTTGTATTTCTTCTTTAGGTTTTAGTTGAAAAGCCAAAGAATATATGCTCTATTGTGTGGCTAAAAGCCAGCCAAATGTAGCATTAAATCTTAGAATGCTGCACAGTTTGTGTCCAAAGTAAGAATTAATGTTAAACAGCTTAATTAATGTTAAACAGCTTTATTGCAAGCAGATTACAGTCAACATAATTAAGATCTGAGAAACAGGGCAGAAAAGTTTGGTTAGGGAAACCCTAGTAACCATTGACCAGCCCTTAAGAACTAGGTTTATAAAGCCCAAATCAATATGCTCAAAATAGCCATGACTCAGATTGAACTCAGCACTTAAAATGCAAAATTTTGTGTGTTTTTCCTAACTCAGGCCTTCTAAGTCATATGTGCATCTAGCTGGTGCTCTAGTCCAGTGGTTCTCAACTCTCACTCTGCGTTAGAATTACTGAGACAGTTAACATGAAAATACAGGTATCTGAGTCCCCTTGCAGATGTTCTTGACTCTTTTGGTCTGGAATGGTCTTCTAAGTGAGAAATAACAAGAGAGCAAACTGAGGCAGTACCTGTGTACTGGAGAGGGGAGGACAACCTGGAGAAGCATTTAGGAAGGACCATCCAGTAGAACTGTCTTTGTACCAATCAAAATGTTCTTTCTATTTGTACCATCTAATAGGATCTTACAAGATGCATTTGACTATGGAGCAGTTGAAATGTGGCTAGTGTGACTGAGGAATTAAACATTTTATTTACTTGGTTTAAATAGTCACATGTAGCTCATGGGCATCTTGTTGGACAATGCAAATTTAGGAGATTGGAATTGACAGACTTTGATTTCCAAGGAGTACTGAGGAGAGGCAGGAGTTGAGCCTAGCCTCAAGGTTTCTGCCTTCACTGTGGGACAGGTAGTAACACTTAGGGAGAGGAAGAGTGGGGTGCCAGTGCATGACTTTTGTGTCATGATTAGTAAGTGGCGCAGTGCCCAGGGGTAGGACTCACAGCTTCTGTGTTTACTTGTTTAGCATAAATAAAAGTATCTCTGAAGATAGTATTTTCTTCCTAATCAATCTATTCTCTTTCTCTCTCTTTTAAAATCAGGTATCAAATTGTAGTGGAAATAATCCAGGCAACTACAATTAGCAGTTTTCCCCAACTGAAGAGGCACAAGGGTAAGAACATATTTGTTTTCCATTATACATTTTAAAGGTCCTAGGTTTGTCCCATCTTCTTTTGTCAGATATGTGGCAAACATGAATATTTTTCTTTCATCAATTTTTCAAATTGTTAAAAATAACAATATAATATCATTGGAGAAAGTAAATATAATTTCACCCTAACTAAAACCTTAGTTTTTATTTCTGTATCCTAGTAGGAACTTTATTCTCTGTAGTTGTAGATTCTAGAAGGTTAAAATAACTGAGCATTTGGTATTTCTGTTCTGTTTTTAAACTAAACATGATTTATATAATTTTTCTCATATTGTGGTTTAAACTTATTATTCATTAATATTTATGTCTTGAAACATAATCTTGATAGTCATTTAAATAACTCTAGTGAGTGGTATTTCATAATTCACTTAATCTTTTCCTTTAGATTTGGATTGTTAATAGCTTTTTTCTCTTCAGTTTTGTGTTGTTGATTTTATATGTGTGTGTGTGTGTGCTCTATTTTTTTCTCTTTTCACTTTTTTCCTGTTTCTTTCACTTTTGTTTTGTCAATTTTATATATACTCTGTTTTTTTTTTCCCTGTTTGTTTCTCTTCAAATGAAGTAAGGTTTAGACTCAGAAATGATTATGAGGAATAGTTAAGATGTGCTGATGGCTTCCAGCTCCCTTGTAGTTTGCTGGTGCTAGCATATTCCTCTCACATATAGGAAGTTGGAGGACATATTAAAATCTGGGGTGTAAATCAAATCTTGATCTGCTGGGGAGAAGCAAACACTGCTTTCTCCCTGTAGTAGACTTTTCACAAAAATTTCCTGGTTCACTAAAATCTTCCTGTCAGGGTGAGAAAACAAACAAACAAAAAACAGGTAAGAGTTGGACCAGAGACTTTAAAAATGTATGAAATATGATATGTCAAGAACTTTGTAATGTTTTGAACAACTAATAAAAAAAAAAAGGCAAAAAATAAATAAATAAATAAAATATCATGCAGTCTAAAAAAAAAAAAAAAACATGCTTTCTCCCCAGGTTTCTAATTAGCACAGAGAAGCAAAAGGGACATTGGTTTGGGGACTTTTTCTTTCTCCTTGAGTCACTGACTGAAGGTAGTAGTTATGTAAAAAAGGATAGGAAGGTGTTATCAAAAGCTGTCTTTGTCCTCAGTAACCAGGACACAGTTTTGAGAAAAAGGAAAAAGAAGTTTTATTGCTTTGCCAGCAAAAGAGAAACACAAGGGACTCCTGTCCTAGAGGCTGTGATTCTGCCCATCAAGGGTGAATCAAAGGCTACATTCTCTGTCTGGAGCTATAATTCACGTGTTAATTTGGGAGATAGTCATTTCTTAGAGCTTCTGTCTGGTACCATTCACAAGTCTGAATTACTTAATTCCTATGGTTTGTGTGTGTGCTCACGGACAGAGAACTGGGGAAGAAAGGTAATCCTGTTTCCCCCAAGGCTAGGGAACAGGGAGGAAGAGACGTGTCCCTTTTTAAAATAAGTCTCAGTGGCGGAGGATCAAGGGCTATATTCAAAGTAGAAAGTGGACCATTGTTAAAAAGTTACCTGTTACCTGTAGAGGCATTAGTTTTTTATCTTAGCTCAGTAAGGAGGGCTATGCAAATATGTTCACTCTGAGCATTTATGAGCACCTAGTAGATGGTGACATTATGGTAGTAAACAAAAGGAAATTTCTGCGCTTATTGAATCTCTAAACTAGGCTGGGAGGCAATTAGGCGATAAATAAAATGCACATTTCAGGTGATGATGTGTGCCTTGGAGAAAAAAGGTAGGTGTTTGGGGGGGGGTGGGGAAGTGGGGTGGTAGGGAATGCTAGAACTGCTGCAGGGGAATCTGATTTTGCATTCAAATAATGTGATAGGGAAGTCCTCACCCAGATGATGACCCTTGAGCATTGTCCCAGGAGCTTGAAAGCTTCTAGGAAAGGAGGGAGCCTGAAGAGCTGAGTTGGCAGAATACAACAGTCACTAGTATGGCAATATGTAAAAACGTGGATGTGTAACCGATGTGATTCTGCAATCTGTATACAGGGTAAAAATGGGAGTTCATAACCCACTTGAATCAAATGTATGAAATATGATATGTCAAGAACTTTGTGATGTTTTGAACAACCAATAATAAAAAAAAAAGAGCTGAGTTGGAGGAGAAAAGCCAAACTGAGCTCCAAGGCCCAATCAAGAAGGGCCTTACTGCTACTGTGGGGACTTTGGCCTTGACTCTGGATGAGGAAGTATTTGTAGGCTTTTGAGCAAAGGAACATCTGTGAGGATGGTTCTGCTACTCTCCTTATTCTCATTGTTCTTGCAGAGGAAACATTTCACTTTCAGGCATTTTGACAGTATTTTAAAGAGAATACAGAAAGGGATTTATCTTTGCCTCCATTATCTTTTGTTAGTGCTCCTCCTTATTATTATGAGTTGAGTCAGAATAATACCTTTCTTATTTTGTTATTTTAGTTTGGTCAGTCTGCTGACAAAGCCCTACATAGTGAGTGGCTTTAATTACAGAAATTCATGTTCTCATGGTTCTGGAGACTAGAAGTCTGAGATTAAGGTATTAGTTCCTTCTGAGGACCAGGAGTGAAGGATAGGTTCCAGACCTTTCTCCATGACTTCTACAGTACTTTCCCTTTTTCATGGTGTTAGTTACATTTAACTGTGATCCAAAAAATATTAAATGGGAACTTCCAGAAATAAACAATTTATAAGTTTTAAATTGTACACTGTTCTAAGTAGCTCAATGAAACCTCAAACCATTGTTTCATCCTACCTAGGATGTACTTTGTATCCACACTGTGTATGCTACCCCACCCATTAGTCACTTAGTAGACATCTTATCAGATTGACTATGTATGTGTTCCAGTAACCCATATTTAACTTAATAATGTCCCCAAATTCAAGAGTAGTGATGCTGATACCGGCAGTTTTATTATAGTATATCCTTACAGTTGGTCTATTTTATTATTGTCATTGTTAATATCTGCCTAGTTTATAAATTAAACTTTATCAAGTTATATATGCATAGGAAAAGCAGAGTACGTATGTATGTACATATAAATCATATATTACATTAAATATATTTATAAACCATATATCATAATTATATAGTATATAATTATATAATATATAACATTATAATTATATAACCTATTATATAATTATTACAATTATTGAATATTTTATTATGTAATAATATATCATTATATAATTATATATATATATATATATAATTAAAGGTTGGGTGCTATCTGAGGTCCCAGGCATCCACTGGGGTTCTTGGAATGCATTTGTCTTGCAAAAATGGAGACTGCTGTAGATGGCCATCTTTTTCAAGTATCTTCACATTGTCTGTTCTTTGTTTCTAAGTTTCCTATGATTACAAGGACACCTGTACTATTGGATTAGATCCCACTGTAACAACACATGATCTTATCTTAATTCATAAACAACAAATAAAGTAAATTGGACTTTAAAACTTAAAAATTTATGTATGTCAAGGGACAGTATCAAGAAAGTAAAAAGACAATTCAGAGAATGAGAAAAATATTTGCAAATCATGTATCTGATAGGTGGCTTATGTCAAGAATATGGAAAGAACTCTTGTTACTCAATAATCAAAAGACAAATAACCCAAGTTGAAAATGGAGAAAGAATTTATAGACATTTCTACAAAGATATTCAAATGTTCAGTAAGCAAATGAAAGCCTGCTCAACATCATTATACATTAGGGAAATGTAAATCAAAACTAACATGAGATATCATTTCATATCTAATAGGGGCAACTAAAATAGTTAATAATATACTGATGAAGTATGAAGAAATTAGAACCCTTATTCATTCTCATTAGAAATTGGAAATGGAAAACAGTTGGCAGTTTCTCAAAATTTTAGGCATAGAATGACCATATGAACTAGCATTTATATTCCTAGGTAGAGCAAAGCTGGGGTGGGGTGGGGTGGGTGGTGCTGCAAACTTACTTGGTCCCCTAATAGTACTTCATTTAGGGATCAGTGAGTCACCTTTACTCTTTCTAGAGTAAAGGTGATCAACTAACTCATCTTTTCTGTGAGCAAGAAAATTACACGATGTGTAAGGGGGAAAGATTCCTACAGAAGACTTATAAATATAGGATTGGAGATGTAGCTCAGTGGTAGAGTACTTACCTAGAGTGCATTGAAAGAAAAGCAAGAACTTGGGAGACGAGCGAGCAATAAATGAAAGACAGAGACCAGGCAGAGATACACACTGAGAGTTTGTCAGAGCTGACAAATAAAGGCACATCCTTCCCTAGAAGAGAGAGGCAGGACAGGCTTGAATTTTGGGGCTTTTATGGGCCAAGCTCAGGGATCAGAGCCTGCGGGTCCTAATGCAGGAGGCTGAAGGGTGGGGTTGGTATGAGGGAGTGGTGAGCCTTTTCTGAAAAGGCCCTTGGACAGGAAAATGGCGGCTGTCACTTAAGATAGCCACCCAGATGCTAAGCAAGGACCTTACATGCATGAGGCCCAGAGTTCAATTCCCAGTACTGAAACTTTAAAAGAGAAAACTTATGAATACTAAACAATTTTAAATAATGAGTCTTAGAAATTATATTTTGCACACAAAATTTTCTTGCTTCTGACTGTATTCAAATCTGGGTCCCAGTGTATTATTGACTGACACCTGAATTTTACCCCCTAGAGTTAGGGTTAGTTGCTTATTGGTCATGGAATTTGGGAAGTCAAGCTAATTTCAATGAATTTTTTTTCAATCTTCATCTTCGTGACTTTTGGCAGCATTTGACATTGTTGACTAGTTCTTTTCACTTACCCTATTTAATATATATTTTCATGCTGAAATCATAGTGATTTTTAAAAAAATCAAGGTCCTACTTACTCTGGCCTGTGTCCTTATACTAATTTCCACTTCCTGCCATCCCCCCACCCCACTCCCACACTTCAGCTACATGAATTATTCTTGTTCCTAAGCTCACATTGATTCCTCCTGTCTC